CCCGACTGCGACTAAGTCAACACATTCTCCAGGAACGGTCTTCCCAGGAATATAAAAAAGACTATAAGAAAAGACTTTCTTGTTTCAATACATTTTGTTCTAAGTACATTTTGTGTTGCATTATTATTCCATGCATTAGTCAAGTTTCAACAAATATATATATATATATATATATATATATATATATATATGTGTGTGTGTGTGTGTGTGTGTGTGTGTGTGTGTGTGTGTGTGTGTGTGTACGGTCGATTTGCCAGGAAGGAGACTGATGTTATCGATCTGGAGGAGGACAATCCGAGCGTGCGGCACCTTTGAAAAGTGCCTGAAATCCATACCATGGGTTGGCCCAAGCCTTGTGAGTGAAATTGGGTTTACGGAACACTTGGGGGGGGGCGTCGATAGCTGTGCTAGCACGAAGTTCCAAGTCATCGTGACCGAGGGTTTGAGTGTGCTGGTCTTGTTCAGATTGCTGATCACGCTAGATAACACGCTCTCTCCCAGAAACTGTAACTAAGGTCTACTCAGCATAGTTGCAGTATAAACCACTGGTGGGCTCTGTGGGTGTTGAACAAACACAAATATGCCTGAGCGAGCGTCTGAATTAGGGATTGGCTAGCCGCCCTAGTAGACATGGTATCCTCAAATACGAGTGGTCAGCTATTATTTATTATATGTATTTGTATTAGTAACACAATGTGTTTATAAATATTGCATAATTCTAAAATTACAGGGTACCCAGTAAAAAAGCCGCAAATTTATTATTCGAGAAAATACACTAGCTCTAACTGGTACATTTTAGCGTCCCCTAAATACGGAAATCTCAGTGTTATGAAGTGTTGTGGTAGGATCCACCTAATTTGCATAGTGGAGTACCGACCATATAAATATGTTTGGTACCGGGAAGACGAGGGGAAGGAATCAAGAGATTCAATCCAGAGACTCTGCCCGACTGCGACTAAGTCAACACATTCTCCAGGAACGGTCTTCCCAAGAATATACAAAAGACTATATGTAAATATTGTGTACACTTTCTTGTTTCAATACATTTTGTTCTAAGCACATTTTGTGTTGTATTATTATTCCATGCATTAGTCAAGTTTCAACATGAAGTATACTCCGAACTCAGCTGCAAAACCGTTCTTGTGCCATCGTCGATATTGAAGTGGATCTTAATTGTAACTTGGAATGAAATTCCTCTTGACACTATCCGCAGACGTACTGCCTCCTGGTTATCACGCTTACAATTTTCTGTTGAACATTCAGGCAAACATTTCAAATATCTACAATGATTATTCATGAATCATGATAGCTAAATAAATTTCTTTCTGCATTTACCGCTTTTTTACTGGGTACCCTGTAAATGATAATACTGTACCATACATGCAGTCTCAAGTTCTTAAGGAAAGTTAATGTCCTTTTCGGCTTCCTCCACGTGAATAGGACTTTACTTTTTTTAATACTAAAAATTATATGTCACAGAGAGAGGGTTTCAGGAATTTAGGGATGCTTAGGTGACCATGTCTCCAAAAAGGTTGGGAATCCTTGATTTAGTCTATACATGGCTCAAGATCCTTTCAATGTAGTGCATTACTGAGTGATTTGTGTGACAGGAACGTAAAAAGAGATAGAAGATTATGAGGACAAGGAGGATAGATAGCTATTGACCTTTGATTTGAAAAGAGGACGGTTGCCGTGTTCAAGACAGGATATATGCGAAAATGTTTCAGAAAGTAGCAGTGATCGTGAAAATGCTGCCGCTGTGGAAATCCCCCCATTCAAAGAAAATATGAAAGAAATGTGGTTGATTCGACTCTTTGGACATAGCATGTCGATTTCTAGCAGTAAAGGTTTGAACTGATGGAACTAATAAGTGGAGCTCATCTGAATATTTGCCATGGAAATTGAGATAGAGTAGGCTATCTAGGCTAGGGGCGTTGTTTTGGTTTGGTTTACGGCATATGGGTTATTTAATACCGAAAATATTTTTTATTGCTGGTAATATTTTTTTCAAAAATGTATTCAAAATAAGCTGGTAATAAGCTTATACAAAAATGTATTACTAGTATCAAAACCTATTTTCACACTTTCATAATGTTTTGACCCCAGTTTGGAGGTCAACTATTTGCCCATAGCGAGGACCCTAACAGGTGCTGCCACCCGGGTTATGGTGGACCTGGGAACACCAACAATTAAGAAGTAGTTCCAAGCTCCTCAAAAACTCCTGATCAGAAGCCTTGCTGTCGGATGTAGTTTATCGTCTTACCCGGGACGCGGATGCAGTTTATCGTAATAACCATGACACATTTTATTTTGACTTTACGCATAATATTTCAAACCTACACTAAGGACTTGCTGCAATGTGTCAGTGCAACACCTCTCGCTATATTATTCTTTGTAACAGGGAGGGCAAAGTTTATGCCTCGAAATGTTAGAGCCGTGCTTACAATGACCTTTACATCCGGTAACTTAAAAACTGATAATTGCGCATATGGAAAACTGTAGTTTATCGTCTTACCCAGGACGGTGCGGTATTGTGTCTGCAGGGAAAAAAATGTCTGTAAACTAGAAAATAGTTCACCCCCTACAAGACTACATAAACAATTTTGAATTCGACTAAGACTGGAAAGAGAGGATTAGGCTGCCCCAGACCATGTATATCAGATTTTTTTTTTCATCTAATCTAACTCTTGTCAAATAAAGCATTGGATTAGTCAAGTACTTTTTGGATGCAGACGCAGACAGAGTTGAGCTGTGAGCTCTGAGACCACCCTCGCAGGAAGCTGACTGAAGATATCCACGCATCCTGACTTCTAACCAAGAACAATTTATTTTTGAAGAACGATTTAGACTCACACCACCAAAACAAGTTTTACGAATATCGCCTGAAGATAAAAAAAAAACAGTTATCGAAAAACAACTCAAGATATTAAGACTCGCCTAACAAACACAAAGTGTCACAAATCCATAGAAGCGGGTTGGGAGAAAGATGCAGTCCTGTATTCAGCAACCAGATATAAAAATATTTGTTATTCTTTTTTAACACATTTGAACTTTTCGGGTTGTTACTTTATTGTGCGGTGTTGCCTTTGCTCGGAATCGGCTTGCATTGCGGCCCGGCGACTGATTGATTTCGTCTACCTAGGATCAAATCACAATGTGGGTAGGTTAGACTAGAAATCAAAGCAGTTACTTCGGCCAAGGCTTAGAACGTCACAATTGGTGCCGTGACCAGGACAACGATGACATCACAATTTTCCATTGAAATTCGCGCAATGTTTGATAGAAAGAATCAATAAGTACGTTGTTTGGGGCTGAAAAGGGATTATCTTACTAACCTTTTCATTGCTTTTTTAAATGCTTTATCTAATTTTCTTAAAACACTTTCGCAATAAACAGACTTTATTGTTTTTTCTTTCTAAAATGTCAACTACCAAAATTCCCTCAACGTCCCAGAAAACTATCGCCGTAGCATTTCCTTCTAACTATCCTGCTTTCATTGAATACTTTCCACCTTTTGATAACCATTACTTTAATTCAGTTTTATCTTAGGGATCGTATTGTTAAAGCGGAACTTTATTTCCAGTTCTAATTTGTTTAAAAAAGCCTCGAAAATTTTGACTTTTATCACTAAAACCATTACTATCTCCCCACAAAATTCTTACAATCTAAAAATATTTTCTGGCTTTAAATAACCTGCAAAGGGTTGATAAGCCGTACAAAACAAATCAATCGACCAAATTGGCCAAAATAAGACACCAGATTAATGGAATAGTAGAGTCTGTAGATATGTTCTTTTAATACTATGTCTCATTTGTGACGTATGCGATCATGGCTCTCCACAAATTCCTTCTCTCTATTATCTGTGAATTGCTATGCATTCTTGGGAAAGAAAGAATTGTTTCCATTTGCTTCCTGTTTTACGTAGTCAATGATGATTTTCCACATGAACTTACAACTTTGATCCTTGACAGAGTGCACAGACACTCTGATCGTAGATAGAAGTGTCGATCCATCTGTAAATAATCCTCTTATTTTTGACAAGTGCTATGCTAGTGTATAGTATATTTTGATCAAGTACTTGTCAGATAGCAATACAATCTATACAATCGTTCTTTTTGTCAACAGTGTGTATTTTCACCAAAATGACGCAGGAAAACAAAAAAATATAAAATAAAATATATTAAACATCTACTTCTCTGAAATGCCACTCAGACAAGCTTCCTTGCACAAAGAGGATTGTTTCAATCGACATTAAGAACTTTCAATACTGAATTTCATAGATGACATTTGCACTTCTTGTGGAATAGAATTAGCCTTCGCTTAATGTGCTAAATTTCGCTGAGCCAAATGATAGCCCATTGATCCCTTTACTTTTTAGAGTCCACTTTGAATAAGAGTTGACAGGGGGGATTTATTCATACTCCCAAGGGGATGCAATACGGCACAAGCTACTTTAGATTTTTTTTTTAAGTCGAAAAACACTCATATGTGCATAGCGGGGATACAAACTTTGCCCACTTTCTTTGGGACATTTCGCAATCGTCAGAGCGTGTCTATGGACCCAGCTACGATAGCGCAATGAAGTTTTGCCTGTAAATCAGATCCTAAGGAACCAGTTTTCGGAGAATTATGTCTGATGCGACTAAACACGCGATAAAGTCAGGGAGAAACAAAGACAGATAACCGCTATCCGATAAATAGTAGTTCCGCGTTCGAATTGATTGAATGATTGATTTGATTTTTACGTCTTATCAACCTTTTACAGGTTATTTAAAGACAGGAAATATTTTTAGATTGTGAGTATTGTGGCGGGATAATAACGATTTTCTGATCCAAGTCCTACTAATTAACCCATAGCTGGGGAGAGAATAGGTGGCTTCATACCATTCCCAACGGTATTTACACGTAAGTGAATATAACGAAACCAATCCGGAATTGGAAATCGGCTCTTCGATCTTTAATTCCGTACCGTTATATATTACACCATCCACACATCCAAGCTTACAGTACCGGGTCTTCCCAATTCGTCACCCATCTAGTTACTAACCAGAATCGACATTGCTTAACTTCCGTGATTAAACGAGAACTGGTGTTTTAACTTGATATGTCTTTAAGCCCTTCCATATTCTGAGTTAACAGATGTTAAAAGTTTCAAAGATGTTCAGGATTTCTTCTAAGTTCGCGCTCATCATTTTTAGATAATTCCAAGACATAAAGAATATTTAATGCATTTTTTAAAGAAAAATCTGAGGTGGGAGTGTCCTGTTATTTATTTAGATTTTATTTTCGAAAGTTTTCTTCTTTTCTTAAATATTTTATAATATAATGTATGCCACCCGGTTAGTTTTTATTATAAGAGTACAATATTTCCACAGTCCTGGGTATGACGATAAACAAGAACCGGCAGCATGGCTTCTATTCGGGAGATTAGAGATTTGAGGAGTTTTGAACCACCTATTAATTGCTGTTGTTCCCAGCGACACCTTGATTCGGGTGGTAGCACCAGTTTGGGTCCCAGCTATTGGTAAATAATGAAACTCCAAACACTATGAAGGTATAAAAATACCAGCAATAGATTTTTATATATAAAAAAATTACCATTGAGATATTTTTACAGCAGAATTATCAATAATAAATTTTATAGCAAAATGGCCTACAATACATTTTATCAGTAGTTGAAGCAATAGAACTATGTTCAAAATATTTAGTTTTCGGCATTAAATAACAGATAGAGGTTGATATGCTGCTAAGTAAAATCAGTCAAGCAACTACAATAGTTCCACCTTATCAACGCAAGACAAGTTCTAAAACTCCCCACAAATACTATTAAATCAGATATATTAAACTATATCAACACTAATTTATGTGTCAACCAAACATTTCAACATTAAAGTTAACTGGTAGGAAATTGCGTCGGGAATTAGTTTATCATCTCTTTTATCAAACAGTGTGATGTTTATAGAACATTTCAAATTTAGTCCCACGTCGATTTATAACTTTAAAAAAGCAACATAATCGCTATTGCTTAGTCTATGAATTCTGAAATGGTTCTATTGCTGTAGAAACATTTAAAAACTTTATGCGACGTAAAAGCATATAGTGAAATTAGTTGTGGTTTAAAAGATTTTAAAATGGCGATTGTGACATATCTCTAGATCATCGCTGGAAGATGGCTCATTTTGAATGCAAAACCTTTGAAAGAGATTACTAAACAGAATAAAAAAAAAAACCTCAAAGATTTAACACAAAAACTTCATGTGCCGCGTTCAGCTGCCTATGAATATATCAAGCGAATTGACAAAACTTAGAAGCAAGGGATATTGTTTAGCATGAGTTTTTGCTTGAGAATCGAACACAAGTTACGATTATTTGCAATTGTCTTTTAACCAAATGTCAAATTTCTTTTTGGCACCGAAATAGTTCCAGGAGAGGAAACATGAGGTTTTCATGTGAAGAGAAAACGAAAAGCATACTGGTTAACAGAAAATGAGGAACTCCTATCTTCTAGGAGAGATTAGAAACGAACATGTTGCCATTACATATACTGAGTAGTACTTTCGAACAGATCTTTTTCGATTCTCGAAATATACATGTCTGCTCTGTTTCATATCCTAACAATTTTTTTTAGGAAATGGATTAAATCCGACATATTTTTAATTTATTTGTGAAACGTTATTTTAAATGGCTACTCATATTTTACTAGATGCTCCTTTCTTATTTAACAGTATATTCATTTATCTACCGGAATCGATTCCAGATTCGAGAAATCTTATTTAAAAAATATAAACTGATAGATATATATATATATATAAATAAATACACTGTTTAATAATAAAAAACAGGAGATCTACTAAAATATGAGCATCCATTAAAAATACCATTTAAACAAATAAATAAAAAAAATGGCAGATTTAATCCATTTCCTAAAAATGTCTCTGTTTCGTATCGTAGGGGATACAAAACAGAGTAGATTTATATAATTCGAGAATCGAGAAAGATATGTGCCAAAAGCGCTATTCGGGCTTTGTTTGATCAGGAGTTCCTACGTGCTCGAGACGTTAAAATACTTCATTACATATGCCGGTTAAAAATTGTTATATTTTAAGTGAATGATGTTCTGACCATGAAGTGATATATATATATATATATATATATATATATATATATATATATATATATATATATATATATATATATATATATCATACTTATTAAAAAACCCAGGTTGTGTGTGTGTCTGTTCGTTTATACATTGGATCGGATTTCCTACATTTTTCAACCGATTTCAATAAAACATCACAGGACTACGTAAAATTACCTTGCGGTGGTTAGGACAGCGCCAATAAATTGGAAAAATACAATTGTTTTTGCACGAAATCAATTTGAAAACACGATTAAGAGGCATCGCTGTCGCGAGAATGAAAGGGGTACAACTCATATCGAGTTATACTTATTATAAAACTCAGGTTGTTTGTTTGTGTGTGTGTGTGTGTGTGTGTCTGTGTGTCTGTGTGTGTGTGTGTTCGTTTATATATGGGATCGGATTTCCTACATTTTTCAACCGATTTCAACAAAACTTCATTGGGGTGGGGCAGGTAGTGTTTCTAATTGTCTTGCACACTTTTTTCTTTATTTTTACATTCAGAATGCTTTAAAAATTCCATTTACAAGGCAATTGTTTATAATAAAATTCTATTCAATCGATAGACTCATAACGATTGAAAACAATGTTTTAGTTTGAGTTTGGGTTTGACTAATTCGTATAAAAAAAATTAAAAAAAACTAATTAAAACATGCGTGTCCGTCAACCTTAAACAATAATCTTTGTCAATTTTATTTTTCAGTCTTTATTATGTTCGATACTTGATCTATCTCTTACTGTTACATCCCCGGGCAACGCTGGGCTCTACTGCTAGTTACATATACCGGTTAAAAATTGTTATATTATAAGTGAATGATGTTCTGACAGTGACCATGAATGAATATATATATATATATATATATATATATATATATATATATATATATATTGTTTATACGTTATTTTATGCATACAAATATTTAAGCATTGTTTTAAAACTAAAAATTTCCTATGATTTCCTTCGAACGCTCAATCTTCTCGAAGCGTATCTTAATGCAAAGAAATGACACAATATATTATGAAATGAACTAAGTTCGACCATTATTTTGTAGTATAAAAACAGTAATTTAAGAGACGCTTCCACTGTAGCTAGATGGTATAGCACATCAGCTTTATGACGGTTCCGTGTAAAGCATAGGTTCGTTTCCTGTCGGAGGATACATATTTTCTTTGAGATTTCTCGTATACGGGTAAATGTAGTTAATAGTGTTTATTATAAACAGAGCATTTACTTAAATATTTGTGTCTATAAAAATAACGTATAAAAAAAATATATTAAACTATTTGTCGAACTTAATATATATATTAAAGAAGTAATTTTAATTTATTAATCCGACAGATTTTTGTCACTTTAAACGTTATTTTTAGTGGATACCTATATTTGAGTAGGCGTTCCGTTTATTTTAAGCAATTTTTTTGTGTCTACCAGCGAGAATATTAAGAAATCTTCTTACAGATGTGCCCTCCGGAAGCATAGGAACATGTGTCCCCTTTTGCAGGTGAAATTCTTATTAGATCTTACCTGATTATAACCAACTTGACTACGACAGGCGTCGCCGATCGAGTAAGGAGGAATTCTGTCTTTAAGCACAAATTCTTCTCGTTCTCGCATTTGAAAACACTTGAAAACGTGAATAGCTACAGTACTGAGGTGTCCCACAATTCCCCCCAAAAAAAAATCTTAATGGATCGCATTCCCATCTACAAATCACTGCTCAGATTCATAAAAAAGTATACCATTTTTTCAGAGAACCATCAGAGTCGATGAATAATGGATTGTTTACAACAACCTAAAGCGAAAATATACCGGTGAATGCACAATGAGCCACCATTAACAACTCCAAAATCGGTCCGCATCCGAATGACATACGCTGCATTATTCGATCTTCTCTTGCCGAAATTTTGCGGGGTCTGCCGGTTTTAAAAGCACTAACTATTTTGCCAGTATCATTGTAGGATTTAACAACCCTGCCTACAACACTCTTGGAACGTTTCACTTTCTCTGAAATCTCTCTAATGGTGTGCTTTTCCTTGTGTAGCTTCACAATAGCTTGTCTCACAGAGTAATCAAGTTTTTGGCGTTTCGCCATAGTGCCGGCTGATGCAACGCTTATAAATGACTAAGTAAGACTTATTCTTTAGAGGAAATCAAAAATTTGAATATAGCAACAGTATACTGTTTAAATTGATTTTTCTCAATTTTGTCCCTCACTTTTGGACGTTCCAAATTTGAAAATAAATAAATAATTGTTATAATTCTTTTTCTATCCTTTGCAAATGATTCAAATTTTAGTATGTTATTATGGGTGATAACGACTACCAGTTGTCAAAATTTCAGCTTTTCACAGTTGTTATTTCTAACAAATATTAGGTTTTAAAATTTTGTCCCTTAGTTTTGGACGCTACTGTATGTATAGCTATGAGGAAAGTAACAAATAGCAATACTTCACTTACAGATAAAAACAATAACATCAACATTTTTCTATAAAAGTCAAATACACGTTTATTATTAGCAAGATAAATTTTCACTTAGAAACATTATGAAGAAATACTTAACTCCAGTCGACGAGAACAAGATAAATTTATCTGATACGAAAATTTTAAAACAGCTAAACTTATCATCAATAATAATAACCCACCTGCAAGATCAAAATTAAAGAGACAATTATTATTTATGAACTTGCATGTCTCTTAAGGAATTGCGTTCAGAATCCAACCAAACTCATGAATAATTATACTGGAAATACTACATGCCTATCAAAAAGACTGACTTGACACCTCACTGACCATAAGTCAATTTGATCTTGTCTAATTACAATGAAAATAACCAAACTTCATCCGCAATATTCTTATAGAAAATATAAAAGTATAATAGCCTCGTACACATGTAAAAAAAGTAAATGGAAGAACTAATAATAAAAAGAAAAGGCCAACACTCAAAAACATCAAATATAAAC